TGATGATGGTAGTTTGGAGACCAGGTTATAGGATCGATTGCCATACTATCAAGGGGGCTTTCAAGTAAGTAGCTTGATCGTATCGTTTGTAGAGAGCTCAAACCATTGCATGCTTGCATCATCTTTCTTGGTTCTTGTTTGGTTTTATCCTTGTGATATTTGTAGCTTATGGTCATCTTGTTGACAAGCTCGAGTTCATCGAAAATGGAGTTCACATGCTTCTTCTATTGCGTTTTCGATGTTGGAGGTTTTACCGGTCTTATTCGATGAAGGGTTCTCACCATTTTCTTATGGACCTTTTCTAATTTGCTTCTTACTGTTATTTCTATCAAGACTGTGTTATCCCTTGTAGTTAGCCTTTCAACAAACTTGGTTTCGTTGAATTCGGAGTCCATTTGCAGAAGTTGTGTCAGTTTTGGTGTCCTTAAAAAGGCTGCATCGCTCATGGGAGCGGTACTACTGCTTGGAGGGGATGTAATTTTTACTACCGCTCTTGCGAGGGTACTGCCGCTTGGAGCAGTACTACCGCGGCTACTTTCGTGGCTACTTCCGCTCCGGACCAAAAACTCGTCTTAAGTCCAGCAGTGGTAGGCATGGATGTATTTTTTTAGTACCGCTCGCAAGCAGTAGTACCGCTACCCTTAGCGGTAGTACCGCTACCCCTACCGGTAGTACCGTGAGGACAAGCGCTAGTACCGCTCCGGCGGTTCTGCCAGCCTTTTGCCTCCTCGATGGTGTTTTTCAAAGGGTTTCCACCGCCCTAGCGGTAGTACCACTCCCATGAGCGGTAGTACCGCTCTGTGCGGGCTGTGAGCATAACGGTTGGATTTTTCCCCACCTATAAAAGGGGGTATTCTTCCCCAATGAACCTTATCCTTGGAGCTCTTGTTCTTCCCCCATTGTTGACCTTCTTTGAGCTTGCTATCTCTCAATCCCTGCATGGATTTTTACTAGTTTTGGGGGAGGGGAGAGAGAGGAGATCTAGATCCACATTTCCACCAATCACTTTCTCCTCTATGTGAGGGGTACCCCTTGGATCTAGATCTTGAAGTTCTTGGTGTTCTCCTTCTTGTTCTTCCTCTCATTTATCTCCCTAGCATTAGTTACTTTGGTGGGATTTGAGAGAGAAGGACTTGGGCACTCAGTGTGCCCTTGCCATTACATTTGGTGCATCGGTTTGAGTTCTCCATGGTGATACGTGGAAGTTACAAGTTGAGAAGCTTATTACTCTTGGGTTCTTGGTACCCTTGAGCTTGTCCCCCTTGGGTGCTTGGGCGCCCTAGACGGTTGGTGGTGTTCGGAGCTCAATCATTGTGGTGTAAAGCTCCATGCAAGCGTCGGGGTCTCCAATTAGGTTGTGGAGATCACCCCGAGCAATTTGACGGGTTCCGGTGACCGCCCCCAAGGGTTGCCAAAGTGTGCGGGTTCGGTGCCCGGCACCAAGGGTTGCCATTTGTACGGGTTCAGTGCCCGGCCCCAAGGGTTGCCATTTGTACGGGTTCGGTGACCGCCCTCAAGGGTCCCTTAGTGGAATCATGACATCTTGCATTGTGCGAGGGCGTGAGGAGATTACGGTGGCCCTAGTGGCTTCTTGGGGAGCATTGTGCCTCCACACCGCTCCAAACGGAGATTAGCATCCGCAAGGGTGTGAACTTCGGGATACATCATCGTCTCCTTGTGCCTCGGTTATCTCTTACCCAAGCCCTTTACTTATGCACTTTACTTTGTTATAGCCATATTGTTTCTTGTCATATATCTTGCTATCACTTAGTTATTTATCTTGCTGAGTATAAGTTATTGGTGCACATAGGTGAGCCTAGTTGGAGTTGTAGGTTTTGTGCTTGAAAAATTAATCGCTAGGTTTATTCCACATTTGTTCAAGCCTACCGTAATTATTTTAAAGCGCCTATTCACCCCCCCCCCTCTAGGTGACATCCATGATCTTTCACATTCCTTCTCTAGTACTGAAGTGAAACCTTACCCGCTCGCCTTGGATAGAAAGGTGTCACTCCATCAAGATGCAGAGTCACTCACCTGAGAGATTGTCCATGCGGGTGAAGGGTCGTCATCGGTGGAAGGTGGCGGCACGAAACTCCTCCTCCCCTATTGATTTTGAGGTATCCGCCCCTCTCCCCTGCCGTCTCTCTCCCACCGATCTTGGGCTCTAGCGTCCTTTGGATCGTCGGTGCCGTGCTAGGCGGGCCTTGGTGGAGTTGTCCTAGGGACTGGAGGAAACTCTGGCTTGTTCGTCCCGCCCGATGGCGGTGACACTCAAAGGAGCCGCTTTCTCCCTTGGGGGCACTGCTGAGATCCACCACCCCTCTCCCGAGTGAAAATCTACATTATGCTTGGATGGGGCTATGGCGGCACAAGGTGTGGCCTGCCCTCACTAGAGGCGTCACCTAGGGTGTCATGGGTGCTCGGGTGAGCGGAGAGGCGGGTGTTGGGTCTCGGTAGCGTGGGGCTCGGAACATGCAGAATTGTTGTGAGTTGCGGAGGTTGGCGTTCTTTAGGTTGATGTTCTCTAGTGGCGACTCGCGTTCCTTGGTTCCAGTGGTGCGGCATCCTCGAACGTGGCGGAAGGGGATAGGGTTAGCTAAAGGCATTAAAGAAAGCCCTTGTGGAAGTCGCCCCATAATTAAACTTCTTAATTTATTTTTTAGTCATATTGCTATGTTAAGGACATCTCCAAAGCGGACCCTCAAACCGTCCGGACACGGAAGCCATCCAAAGCGGGCATGTGTCGATCCCCGGAGCAGTTCGGAAATACTTTTTTCAGCAAACATGAGACAAAGTGGGCGGGGGGGGGGGCTTTGTGGGAGTCCAGACAGCAGACACGTAGGACTCCAACACCCCCGACCCACCCAAAACCACATCCGGACCCCTGACTCCATCCTTCCATTTTCTATTCTCACCTTTCCCCTCTTGTCTTCGCCGCCGCTCCGCCAACCCGACCGCCACACCGCACCCCTGCTGGAACTCGATGAGGGCGTCACCTCCAGCGGCACACCCCAGCTCCACGCCGCTTCTCCTCCGCCGCCGTTCAACACGTCTCCTCGGACCGCCGCTCTGATACCATCCACTCCTATGATGCTCACCATGCCCGGCAACTGTTCGGTGAATTGACTGAGCTAATTTTTTGTCCATTCTTCATTGAAGCAATCAATTCAGATATGGAGAACATCTACGAGCACTATATTGAGTCGTCTGATGGGGTGGACTACACGGATGAGACGACGATGATGTAGGTCGTGTTTGCAGACGCGCAACCGGTCACGTGGGCATTTGACGCTGATGGATGACTACTTTGCCCCCGATGCCCTCTTCGCCGACAATTTTTGCCGACGATTTCAGATGCGCAAAGAATGTCTTCGATCGTCTATACCATGGCGTCCGGTCCTTTGATGACTACTTCAACTTGAAAAAGGATGACGTGGGAAGGATTGGGTTCTCTGGTTATCAGAAATGCACGGCCGCACTGCGGATGCTTGCATATGGCATGGCCGCTGATTCGTGGGACGACTACTTGCGGAGATGGCATGGTCAGGTTTGCAACTGCCATTGTCGACGTGTTTGGACCGCGGCACCTAAGAGAACCAACTATGGCAGACACCGAGAGGTTCTTAGCAATCTCGGAAACATAATCGTGGAGGATGAGGGTGAGGATGTTGCCGCATGTATTGAATTGAAAATATAGGTGATCCTATCGAACTTCCCGACCAAAATCCGATCACATTTGAAGAGTTTGTTCAAATGCATCAACAAATTCAGCATCGAGCAACTCACAAGCAACTGGAGATCTGATCTGTGGGCGGTCAAGGGGGACAACAATGTTGGACTGTAATATTTGAACTTTTTTAATTAGAACTACCGTTGCATTTGAAGATTTCAGCTATTTTAGACTATATATGCGGCTATTTGAATGTGCGGACTTTAAAGAAAACAAATTGGGGGTCGGATGTATGTGGGAAGCGTTGGATGGGCCGCCTCCGGCATCAGTGTCCGTGGAGTGATCCCCCCTGTCTGTGGACGGATGCCAGAGCAAATTTGCGGGTCATCGTTGGGATGCCCTAATGTAGCAATAAGTATTTTTCTTTGGTTTTCTTTAACAAAGCGTCAAGAATTATCTTTAGTATAATTATTAGATTGCAAAGTGGTTGCTAGACTAGCCGTTTCTGCAGTGTATCTGTCCTTCGGAAACTTTTTGCTCTGCTGAAATGTTTACACATTACGCAATCATGAGTCTTCTGTATGTGCTGAGTATCTTTTTCGGAATAATTCGTGAAGTCTAAGCCCCTGTTCAAAACAAGTCTTGGCTGAATGCACTGCTAAAATAGAATTGTGATTCACTCATTCTAGAGCTATAGATGCTTTGTTTTTTATTCTTGCTGGGTCATATACTCATATGTAGGCATATATTGTACTCCTTAAACAAATATAAGATCGTTTAGATCACTACTTTAGTGACCTAAATGATCTTATATTAGTTTACAGAGGGAGTAGCTTTCTGAATGCTAACACAGCCTGCAACGTTTCCGCTACTAAATGGGACTTCCTACTCTCAAAAGGTACCAGAATACTCAATCTGGAAGTGAGAAATATGCTGCTGAAGAAAGCAACCAACAACTCCCAGGTGAGAATGATATCATAACAGATATATAACCAGGGAAAATCAACTATAGGCACTTTCAACATATTTTGTTCCTACAAGCCAGAAGCACTGTTTAATTTCTCTGAAGTTTCAGAAACACCAAACAGATAGCGTCGTCTCCTAGTGTTCCAAATGTGAAGTGGCAAAGAAGCGCGCATAACCTGCACTTTTCCGGAACTGGGTGACTATTCTAGAGGAAACCCTACACACTGTATTGTATGAACTGTTCAGTGATAAGAAGGTAAACTGCTAATCCTCGTCAGGCCATCACTCTGCTGTAAAATTGTGGAGGCGTTGACAGTACTGTCCAGGGGAAGAATTCATTCTTGTCTGATCCTATCCTTCTCTTCTATTCAGCATCAAGATCTGGAAACAGCAGTCGGTCATGTCCTGGAGCAGAGTGATAGAGGTCAGAGGTCAGAAACAGTAAGCAAGATAACCGAAGTCATATGCTCAGGACGTGGTGCAAAGAAGAACACTGATACATTATCATATAACACTATTTTCCTCAAAACCACAGCACAATGGGCGCTCATAGAATGGGATATGTGTGAAGATAACATAAGTAGAAGTCTATTTCGGAAACAGCTTGGCATTTAAGATTGTCTAAGTAGAACATCAGCATATAGTATGAATGAAAGGAACATCAGATTTTACATTGATAATATAATGGGATTCTGCAAGTTCATATTTTCTCAGGGTACAGGAACAAAACTGGGTGTCATTTCATACGTGAGTGTTCTCAGCCCGTCGATTGCTTGTATCAGCATAAAGTATAAGCTACTCAGCATTTTATTTACGTCTGTTTATGTACACTGGCTAGCTAGATACCTTTGACTATCAGCACACGTTAAACTACTACAAGTCCAGTAGGCAGCAGCTAAACTGAATATTTGCTGTCACTGAGAGCACATGCTTTGGACCGAACACAACACATATCAAAGTATCAGACGGGATGATTGAACATGGGAAAACAGTGCCTCTTTTGGTTCATAGGATAGGATTATCATAGGAATAGGAATTTTATAGGAAATGAGATGACATGTATCTCAAATCCTATGAGTAGGAATAGTAAACGAGATGTCATTTGGTTGACACCAAAGGAATTTTTCCATTGAGTCTAGGCTCATTTTTATTTTCCTATGAAATGTGGAGGATAGGAATCAATCCTATGTAGGAATAGGAATCCATTCCTATGAACCAAAGGGCTCTAAAGAAAAAAATCCTATAAGAATCCTATCCTCTAAAATTCCTATGAAATTCCTCCAAACCAAAGGAGAGTACTTATGTAGCATCAAGTTAATACAGGAATTAGTGCACAACATTATGCAAACACATTATAAATCCCACGAATTTTCGCATCAAGCGTTTGAAATATCACATGCTACCTACACACCGAACTCAAGATACCAGATGAACAATTGGATTCTTGATCCTAATTTACAAGTTTCTTCCTAATTTCTTCAGTTACATGGACTTGTCATGTGACTAGTCACTAGTGTGGCGTTTGTATCTGAAGAGAAAATGCATAGTTCCATCTTCCAACAGCAGAGCAGACGTGCAGAGTACTACTAAAATGGGAGTGCAGTTCTCACCTGGTGTGCCAACTCTGAACACCACGATGTCAACGGGGTCGTCTCTATGGGGCAGGTCGGTGAGCAGAACGGTGGGCTGCGCAAGGTTGCCTGCCTGAATGCAGAGAGTGATGTCCTGGAAGTTGAGGCCGTTGCCCAACCGCTGCGCCAGTTCATTGCCCAGCCCCATCAGACTCCTGCCATGGAGCGTGAGAGCTCCCCTGCCCTGCTCATCCGTGCTCCCGTTATCATCTGCCACGACGCAATTGACTTGCACAGTCTCTTCAGAGCCTTGGTGCCATGGCTGCTCATGGAAATTGCAGAAAAGCGCTTAGGCGACACAAATCAAGGCATAGATGAGATGACACAACATGATCAGTCCTCTAATGAACCAATTCAAAATATTAACACCTGAATCATGAAGGGAACTACTTCAGCACCAATTATCCAGATTGAAGCATTTACAGGGAAATGAAAATAATCCGATATTTCACAATGCCAACTACTACAGCAGTAGCTATCATCAGAGGATCCAATTATCATCAGACTAATAATTCAGCAGGGATCGTCCTCTGAAGTACCCAATACGCAACATGAATTGAAAGCTTATGGTGCAAGACCTGTGCTGCAGTAATCAGCAATAACTACTGGGTTATTCAAGCAAGAATTGACCGCACATCCACATGCATTGTTCTATTTGAGCAACCAACCCCAAAATTTCGCTATAGAACTGGTGTAGACAGCTTAGCAGCACTTGTTGCAGCATTGTCAGAAATAATCCATAGCCTAAGGCTTAAGCACTCCAATTTATTCAGGACCACCCAGAATTGTGCAAGGGAGAAGGGTGCGGGTGAACAAGATCTTACAATATCGGGGCCTCCTGGTCGCAGCTGGTACGGTGGCCTCTCCACCCTCATGGGGATGACCTGAACCTCCCACTCCATCATCGAAGTGACGCGGGAGCGGTTGATGGCCTCGACGATGACGCGCCTGTGCCACCGGCGGTACCGACCGTTGGCCCGGAGCGCTCTGAGCCTGGCCGACGTGCCATGGAGCAGCACGACGCTGCCGTTCTTCCCCGGGGTGGTCCACCACATGACGTGGGAGTCCTCCGGCTCGTCGAAGGCGCACTGGGCGGCGTCGAAGCCGACGTGGCCGGGCCCCGCCTCGGCGCGCGTGACGGCGAGGTGGCGGCCGTAGGCGCCGCGGAGCAGGACGAAGTAGTTGGTGTCGGTCTCCAGGACCTGCGCGACCCACGCCGTGTTGACCATCTCGCGGCGGCGGTCGATGGAGACGCCCCGCCCCGTCTCGTCGGCGCAGAGGTAACCGCCGCGGCCGCGGTTGCGGAGCCGCACGTACTGCCCGTCCTGGAAGGGCGCCACGCCCATCTCGGCCCAGACCGACTTGCCGGAGGCCACCGCACCCGCCGCACCGGACTTGCCGGGGGCCCTCGCGCCCGCCGAACCGGACTCCCCGCGGGCCGCCGCGCTCGCCGAGGTGGACCTGCCGGGGGCCATCGCGCTCGCCGAACCGGGCTTGCCGCGGGACGCCTCCTCCTCGGAAGACGACGGCGGCAGCGACGGCGGCGACATGGCTAGAGGAGGAGGTGGATCATGCGCGGGGAGCGGCGAGCGAGCGGGCGAGGGGGAGAGGGGAGCGGCAAAGAGGGAGGAGGAATGTTTGTTGCCGCGGCGGTTATCGTCCACTGTAGCGCCGAGCCAAGGCGGAGGGCGTTTAAATAAGCTCCCCGCACGCGGAGGGGCGGCGAATCCAACGCGCAGGCGCAGGGAGGTTCCGCCCGCTGACGCGTGGGGCCCGCCAGCTGGCCGTGCCGCGCGCGCCACGTGGTCCCCGCCTGCCTTGCCGAGGAAGGAGTTGACCCCGTCGACGACCCGGGCCGCCGCCTCTTCGTGGATGCTCCTCGCCGGCGACGATGATGAGGATACCCTCCTGTTTCCCCGGGCGCCGTCCTGACCATGACTCCGGCGGGTCAGGTGCTCTGCGCCGCCAGGCCTCGCCGGGCCGGGCGAGGGGCGGGATCGACAATTGGTCCGGCGAGGGCGGAGGCGG